CGCTTTGGAGACCAGGCTGGCCTCGAACTCACAGAGATCCGCCTGCCTCTGCCTCCCGAGTGCTGGGATTAAAGGCGTGCGCCACCACTGCCCGGCAGGTTCTTGTTTTCTTGATGTCTTCTATCTCTCTAGATTTTACACTGTTTCTTTCCTCCACAGAGTTCCCTGAGAGGAGAGGTTTGATGGAAACACGCTTTTTAGGGCTGACATCCTAAGGTCTCATTCTCTGCATAGTGTCTGGCTGTGGGTCTCTGCATTTGTTCCCAGCTGCTGCATAAGGAAGCTCCTCTGATGATGGCTGAGCAAGACACTGATCTATAAGTATAGCAGGATGCCATTAGGACCCATTTTATTGCTTCATTTTTCTTTTTGTGTTTGAGAACAGTAGTATTTGGTTTTACTCTTGGTCCCTGTGCTGTCTAGTCTCTGGTTCTTGGTCACTCATCCAGTGTCGGAAATGGGTTTCATCTCATGGATGACCCTGAAGTCAAATCATATATTGATTGGTTACTCCCACAAGCTTTATGCCACCGTGGCCCTAGCAATTCTTGTAGGCAGCACTCTATTGTCACTCCAAGGGTTTGTGGGTGGCTTGGTGTTTATGTTTCTCTTTTGGTAGTGTATAGAGTATCTTCCTGTACCAAAGACATTGGAACATAGGTATTGTTGGTTGTTTTTACTCTATGGGCTCTTTAGGGGCCCACCACCCAGCCCCCAAATAAATCACACATGGAGGCTTATTCTTTATTTTAAATGCCTGGCCTTAGCTTGGCTTGTTTCTTGAGAGCTTGCTTAATTTAAATTAACCCATCTACATTTTGCTTCTAGGCTTTTCCCTTTTCTTCTGTAAATCTTACTTTCATTCTTACTCCATGGCTGGCTATGTGGCTTGGTGGCTGGCCCCTAGCGTTCTCCTCTCCTTGTTCTCTTGCTCTTTCTCCTTTTGTGCTCCTTCCAGATTTCTCCTTTTTATTCTCTCCTTGCCAGCCCAGCCTATTCTTTCTCCTGTCTTGCTATTGACCATTTAGCTCTTTATTAGACCATCAGGTGTTTTAGACAGATACAGTAACACAGCTTCACAGAGTTAAACAAATGCAACATAAAAGAATGCAACACATCTTTGCATCATTAAACACATGTCCTACAGCATAAACAAATGTAACACATATTAAAATAATATTCTACAACACATAGGGTGAAGGCTCAATGTTAGCAACAGCTTTACTTCTCTATGTTCAATAAGTTGATAGATGTTGTCTTCAGCAATGGGCCTTGCTTTCAGTTTGTGGACAACAGTCTGTAGTCTTAGCAACAGTCTGAGGGTTTTTTGTTGTTGTTGTTGTTGTTTTTGGTTTTGTTTTGTTTTTTGTTTTTTGTTCCCATGGTGCCCTTTTGGCCAGCAACTCAATTAGATGTAACCAAACACTGGTATTGGAAGCTCTGGAAGCTCATTTGGTGATGAGATGGTCAAGCGAGTCTCTGTCTCCCCATTATTTGGAATTTCAGTTAGATCACCTTCTTATATGTATATATTTTAGAAAGCCTCTGTTTTATTAGAGTTCCATACTACCCCTTAAATGGCCCTTGATTTTAGCTGACTCTCCTCATATTTTCTCCATCACTCCACTCCCTCCTTTCTCTCCCCATTTGATCATTCCCAGGCCCACTCCCATCCATCCATTACTATCCTGTTTCTTTTTTCTAATGAGATCTATGTGTCCCCTTAGTGTCTTACTCTATACCTAAGGCCTGTGGGTCTACAGATTTTAGCTTGGTTATTTAATTGATTTCATTGTTAATATCCACTTATAAGTGGTTTCCAGAGAATGCCTGTTGGATTGGGGTTTGGGATAAAGCAGTGAGTGGGGAGAAGGAAGTTTAGAGGTGTAGACTGTGTGATTGACTGGATGGAGATCAGGGCAGGAAGGAAGGGGAGTCCACAGCAAGTGGTCTGCTGCAAAGCTAGGGGTGAGACTAGGAAATTGGATTTGGAGGAGAGGAGGGCTAGGTAAATATCTGTACTTAGCTTACCTGTTTCCCTGGCTGGAGATCATTAGGGTTCTTAAAATTTTTAATGAATTATCTCCCCCTTTTTTCTTTTTATTTTCTTTTTGTTTTTCTCAGACAGTGTCTGTCTAGTCCAAGCTGGCCCGGAGTTCATTACTCTGTTACCTATGGCTCCTTGTTGGTGGAATTACAGTTGTGTACCAGTACCACCCCAGATTGTTACCCACTTTAATTTTTAAGAATCCCAAGTCTAGGGCAGGAGTTGGTGGCGCATACCTTTAATAGGAGCACTCAGGAGGCAGAGGAAGATGGATCTCTGAGTTTGAGGCTAGTGTGGTCTACAGAGGGAGTTTCAGGACCGCTCTGGCTACACAGAGAAAACCTGTCTCAAAAACAAAACAAAACAAAAAGAATTCTAAGTCCAGACCAGTTTTCTTAAAACCTGACAGATTATTATAAATTCTCATTTTAGGGTTGGCTTTTATGTCCCCACAGGTTCAAAAACCTTCACTGAAGGGTATGTGTTTCTAGTAATACGTAAAGAAGCATGTAAAAATTTTCACTACAGTTAGTTATAATCTTGTTAAGCAAACATGCCTTTTCATTTCCAACCTGTTCTGCTTTCATTATTGCTGCCCTCCTTGTTCCTGTTCAGCTTATCAGAAAATGATACCATTAGAGTCTGGCCATTCATGTCGTGGATTTTGTGTGTGTGTGTGTGTGTGTGTGTGTGTGTGTGTGTGTTTCAGAAAAATAATGTATTCTTGCTTTCTCCTTTTCTTTTAGATTTGGAGTCATGTTATAACACTGAAAATATATCTCCAGAAAATCATACTTATGATATAAATTTACCCACACAGAGCATAAAGCAATTAAGTAAAAATTTTGACCTCCAGGGCTCCAGTTTTAGTAATGGCCTCAAGTACAGTACATTCAAGAGATTACAGGGATATCAAGATGGAGATGCTGATCAAAAGATTAATAACAAGGAAAAACTGCCTACTTACACCTGCCATACTCTTACTCACAATATAGAAAAAGCATATGAATGTAATGAGTGTGGGAAATACTTTGGTTGTCGTTCAAATCTTATTCAGCATCTAAGTATTCATACTGGAGAGAAACCCTATCAATGTAAGGAATGTGGGAAGGCCTTCAGACTCCACCAACAACTTACAAGACATCAGAAATCTCACAGTGATGAGAGACCTTTTGAATGTGATGAATGTGGAAAGGCCTTTCACCTTCCCAACCTGCTTAAGTACCATAAAACCATTCATACAGGTACAAAACCATTTGAATGTGAGGAATGTGGAAAGTCCTTTAATCGTGTCTCGACTCTTTTTCAACATAGGATTATTCATGCTGGTGTGAAACCATATGAATGTAACGTGTGTGGGAAAGCCTTTAATCGTCGTTCAAACCTCATGCAACATCAGAAAATTCATTCTGGTGAGAGACCCTTTCAGTGTAAGGAATGTGGAAAGGCCTTCACTGTTCTGGCACAGCTCACTCGGCACCAGAACATTCACACTGGAGAGAAATCATTTGAATGTGAGCAGTGTGGCAAGATATTCAGTAGTGGCTCATACCTTGCAAGACACCAGAGTATTCATACTAGTGAGAAGCCCTTTGAATGTAATGTATGTGGGAAGGCTTTTAGGCTTCACCTATATCTTTCTGAGCATAAAAAAACTCACACTGATGAGAAACCTTTCAAGTGCAAGCTGTGTGGGTCAGCCTTCAGACGAAAGTACCAACTTAGTGAGCATCAGAGAATCCATACTGATGTGAAACCCTATCAGTGCAATGAATGTGGGAAATACTTCCGTCGCCGTTCGAATTTTACTGAGCATCAGAGTATTCACACTGGAAAGAAACCGTTTGAATGTAAGGAATGTGGGAAAGTCTTTAGACTTAATATACATCTCATTCGACATCAGAGATTTCATAGTGGTGAGAGACCTTTTGAATGTAAAGAATGTGGAAAGGCCTTTCATTTTTCCAGCCAACTTAATTACCATAAAACCATTCATACAGGTCAAACACCTTTTGAATGTGAGGAATGTGGGAAGTCCTTCAAGCGTGTCTCCAGCCTTGTTGAACATAGGATTATTCATGCCGGTGTGAAACCATATGAATGTAATGAGTGTGGGAAAGCCTTTAATCGTCGTTCAAACCTTATGCAACATCAGAAAATTCATTCTGGTGAGAGACCCTTTCAATGCACAGAATGTGGAAAGGCCTTCACTGTTCTGGCACAGCTCACTCGGCACCAGAGCATTCATACTGGAGAGAAATCATTTGAATGTGAGCAGTGTGGGTCAGCCTTCAGACTTCAGTACCAACTTACTCAACATCAGAGAATTCATACTGATGTGAAACCTTTTCAGTGCAAGGAATGTGGAAAGGGCTTTATTCGTGGTACAGGCCTTAGAATTCATGAGAGAATCCATACTGGTGAGAAGCCCTTTCAATGTAAGGAATGTGGGGAAGCCTTTCAATATCATTACCAATTTCTTGGACATTTTAGAATTCATACTGGCAAGAATCCTTATGAATGTAAAGAATGTGGGAAGTACTTTTCTCGTGGTGGAGATCTTAAAGTACATCAAAGAATTCACACTGGTGAGAAAACTTACCAATGTTAAGAATGTGTGAAGTCCATTAGTTGAAAATCAGACTTCATTTAACATGCCAATATTCATATTAATAAGCCTTCTGATGTAAGGAATGTGGAAAGGCCTTCAGTAATTCTAAGCTAGCTATGTATTAGAGAATTCATAATGGTAAGCAACCCTATGAATGTAAGAAATGTGGGAAAATGTTTAGATTTAATTCAGCCTTTACTGCACAGTGGTGAATTTATACTGGTATGAAACTCTTATCAGTGTAAAGAATGTGGAAAGACATTCAGTTTGAGCTCAGGCCTTCTTCAATGTAAAGGAATCCATGCTGGTGTGCAATGCTATAAATGCAAGGAATATGGGAACATTTATAGAATTAGCTCAGCTCTTAAAGCTCATCAGAGAGTCCTTATATGTCTGAAACCCTGTGAATATGAGGAATGTGGGAAAACCTTTATTGTAAATGGTGAGCCTACACAACATCAGAAAATCTATCATCATCAGGAGTCCTATGCATGTAAAGAAAGTGGACAAGCCTTTGTATGGAAATTTTACTGAACATTGGAGGACTCATTGGCAAGACTGTGACTAAAAAGAATATGGGAAGAACTTTAGTCTGCCCTCAGATTTGGTCAACATCAGAGTATTCATACTCTTTTGTTGTTGTTTTGTTTTTTTGTTTTTGTTTTTGATTTTTCTTTATTAAGAAATTTTCTACTCTACATACCACCCACAGATCCCACCTCTGCCCTCCTCTCCCACCCCCCAGGAGTATTCATACTCTTGATGCCAAGAAACCCTTAGAGAATCAGAGTGTGGGGAGTCTGTTGTTCAGAGATGATACTCTATTGAGAATGTCAGACAATGTTGGCCATTATGTTTTTGATTACTCTCATCTTGTTAATTGTATAAACTTAATTTGTCAAACACTATTCACCCAGGACAGTCAGCTTAGGGAGAGTAGTTATTGGGACTAGGTTTATCTGAGGTACCTTCCTTGTCACCATTAATATCCCATGGCTCCTGTGATAATAGGCACAATGTTTACTTTCTGCCTAATTTGTTAATGGCAAGCACAGTACCAAACAAAAGTTTTGGAAACAGTACAATAGATATAAAATCCTTGAAGAGTATTTGGTTCATGCCCATGTTCTGTAAAATGACTTTTACAGTGTTCTTGCTTTTATTGCCTGGAATGTAACTGATAAGAAAGACAAATTTTATTGCAGATAGTTTAGAAAAGCCTTATTCCTTCACTATTCAATTTAAATAACTTCATTCTGGATAAAATCTGATGCCTGAAAATGTACATGAAAGTATTTTTGTTGAGAATTCCTTAAGTATTTGTGTGAAGAAGTTAAAAACACAGCTGTTGATGAATAAGTACTTTTTAAAGGTGTTCAATAAATACATAAAAATTTCAAAAGTTTTTCCTTGTAATTTATGCTCTTGGTTCATCATTAATATAAACTATACATTTGTGACAGGGCAAGATAGTACAAAGTCACCTCCATTGCATAGTCTTGCTGAATCCATTTTAGGGGTGGATAGAATTTGACTTCTGATGGAGAATCTCATGGAAAACTACAGAACTGTGTTCTCAGAACTAGAGATTGTGATTCCCCAGCTTATTTATCCTGGCTTCTGTTAAACTGCTTGCATGTCCCCCTGCAGCTAACTACTTATTTTGGCTTCTGTTAACCTGCCTGCTTGGGCAAAACCTCCTCCTGCATCTGCTGAGCAAGATAACAGGATATTGTTTTTGCTTTTAATATCTTCTTGCTCTATATGCTTGGGGCTACACTTGGGTTCCCCACTACCAGAGTGTAGTCCAAGCTGGCTGGAATAAAGAGTTTCATTTGACTATAAACTCTATCTGAGTGGTCTTCTTTGGTGACCTCCCCATAAAACATTAACAAAAATAACCAAAATTTGCTGGAAGGTGGTGGTGTAAGTTAATCCTAGCATTTAAACCCAGCCTGGTCTCTACTGTAGTTGTTTTTTTTCACTCTTTGGTCTTTGGGTGGCCCGCCATGCAGCTTGCAAATAAACACATGCAGGCTTATTCTTACTTATAGATGCCTGGTATTAGCTTGACTTATTTCTTGCAAGCTTTTCCTAACTTAAATTATCCTAATCAACCTTTTGCCTCTGGGCTTTTATCTTTCTTTGTTTCTGTATATCTTTCCTTCTTATTCCATGGCTTGCTGTGTAGATGGGTGGCTGGCCCCTGATGTCCTCCTCTCCTCCTGTTTTTGTTCCTTGGTCTTCTCTTCCTAGATTTCTCCTATTTATTCTCTTTGCCTGCCAGCCCTGCCTATCCCTTCTCCTGCCTAGCTATTGGGCACTCAGCTCTTTATTAGAACAATCAGGTGTTCTAGACAGGCAAAGTAACACAGCTTCACAGAGTTAAACAAATGCAACATAAAAGAATGCAACATATTTTTGTATCATTAAACAAATATTCTACAACATAGATGAATGTAATGCATTTAAAAATAATATTCCACAACAGTCTACAAAGTGAGTTTCAGGACAGGCAGGACTGTTTTACAGAGAAACCCTGTCTAGAAAAACCAAAAAATAAAGTGTCTTCCTACCTCAAAGATCTGGACTAGAAGTGGATTCACCCACTTCAAGCAGAAAATGTCTCACAGGTATGTGTTCCATTGTAGTTCATTCCAGATATAGTCAAGCTGACAACCAAGAATAGCCATTACACCACCAACATAAATAAATTGAAGGGAAGATATCACCTTGCAAGATACTCTATGTTCATGTTTGTGTTACATGGAAGCATAAATGGACATGTGTATGTTACAGGATGCTGTGTGGTCATGTATGTGCAATGTGGAAAGAGATAGATGTGTGTGTTTCTGTGGTATCAGTTATTGAAGAAGCAATATATTCACAAGCTTTGTCTTGCTGGTTACAATTTGTCAAGAAATCTTAGGGAGACAAGCACTCTCACTGGAGGAAATCCAGTTTTACCAATAGTGTTGAACATGAGGAGTATAAGAAGCCTTAAGTGAGTGTGTAAGGAGTGGATGCAGTCTTGAATGAATGTGTGTTGCTGACATGAGCATGGGCATTGCCACTTCAAGGACCCCAATGCCCTAAGTTTCAGCTAAGATATAGAAAACAAACAGAAAAACAACAACAAAAAAAAAAACCCTAGATGATTGTTGTAACAGGCCCCTAGACCTGAGTACAATCCACTCCATGATGAAAGTACCATTCATGCCATAGACACAGCACATAGTACTATTTGCCAAAACAAAAACCTAATCCATTGAAGAGCATAGTTATGGGAAAGTCTCTAAATGTAGTAACCTTGCTTTTTGGCTTTTGTAATTCTACTTCTGGAGAACTATTCATGTTAACTAAACTATGTCAACCCAGGATATTGTTCTGGTGCTTAAAAGCTCACCTTGAGAAAGGCTTGGGGATGGATACACTGGGATCCAGAACACCAGTGTAGTTACTGGCTAGCTAATGAAGACTTTCTATTGGCTTAAACCCTCCTCAGAATAGTCTTCCCTGGTGGATAATCATACATTTCTGGACATCTCTAGAGACCAAACATCAAGACCCTAGGGACCTCAGAGACCTTCAGACCAGGGAACCATGTTTAGGTCAAGGGAGTGTGTAATGTGAAGACTTTCCAGGTCCCCAGGACTCCCCTTGATCAGTCACTGCCTAACACTTGGGAAGAGTCTGACACCTCTACCCTAAAAGGAAACAAATTAGAAAGTCTCCTGGTCTGTCACCTCTGGAGGTAAGTCTGATTAAGGCACCTTCAGTTTAGGAAACAGGAAAGGCTGGATGTGGCTGCTGATCCAGTGTCCATGAGTTAAACATTCAAACTCAGCGGGTCCGTTCAGGTGTATGAATGTGTGGTGACCATGCCTGGTTGTCTTTACTATGTGTGTCTCTGTCAGCTCTGATGATAGGAGAGAGAGATCTAAAATGAAAGAGGGAGTGATTCTCTCAGGGATTGTAGCCAGCATCTGCCACCCCTGGGATGACTTCCCTCAGTGTTGCATGCAGACCTGTGTCCTGGGCCCCCTTTACACAGTGACTGTGGGTGCAGCAATGGCTGCTGCTTTTGCTATGACAATGCTGGCAGCTATGGTCAGCATTAGCCACCGTGGGCCAAATGAGTTTTGCAGATGAGGACAGATATGATGTCTGTTTCACAGAAAAGCTCTGGACCTCCTGCCTCCCAGCTTAATACCTGTGCATTCTTGTTGGGGACTCAAACCCTTTTGGCTCCACCAGGTCTCACAATCTTGTGGACCCCAAGAATATATTATGGAGATTCAGCTGTGTATTAAAGCTAGACTATGACTGACCAAGGGTCTGTCAAATGGGAAGCCATTTATCATGGAATATTTGGTGTTATACAGTCTTAATATTCAGCAGCGTCTTGCTATGAATTTCTTGTGGGCCCATATATTGCTAGACCATTTGGCAAACAGTTCAGCTTCTCAGATCTGCTGAACCTCTAGATAATTCCCCTGCTGAGCCTAGGAGACAAGCAGGCTGTAGATGCATAGCTTTGCTTCTTGTGCAAATGGAGCTCAGACCATCCCCTTTCTTTATGCCAGAGCGAAGAGAGGAAGATAGAGATTCTGTATAGGGTAAAGCAGATCTCTTGTAGAGTTTATCAGGGCCGGGGTAAGGAGCCAGGAAGGGTAGATGGAGGACGAAGGAACAGAGAATGAAGATGAGACCAAAAGCATAAGGGCTTGGTTATTACTGTTAGTTATTTGACGGCGCTCTTACCCTGCGAGGAAATGTCACGAAACATGACAGAATCCACTAACGAATTTTATTGGTGAAGGCAGAAACCAACTCCCCAGGACTGGCCCAACACCAAGTTTTACTAACCAGTTCAGCTCCCCCTGACCAGATTAAACAATACCCAATAATAGTTGGAAGGTTTCTCCATCCCGCCAAGCCCCTGCAGTCCTGTGGCCTGCTTATAGAATAATCATTCAAAGGCTTAATATTATTTATAACTGCTCGGTTATTAGCTCAAGCTTATTACTGATTAGCTCTTATACTTAAATTAACCCATATTTCTTATCTAGGTTTAGCCATGTGTCTTGGTACCTTTTCTCAGTTCTGCCTTGTCATCTTGATTCCTCTGTGTCTGGCTGGTGACTCCTGACTCAGCCTTCCTCTTCCTAGAATTCGTCTTTCTGCTTGCCCTGCCTATGCTTCTTGCCTGGCTACTGGCCAATCAGCATTTTATTTATCAACCAATCAGAGCAACAAATATCCACAGCATACAGAAAGACATCCCACAGCACCCAATGAACCTCAAAACAGAAAGGGAAATTGCAGTCCATATTGCCTGTCTTAGAGAGATGGACTTGGCACACACCTCTCCTGCCTGTGAAGAAACCTGGGAGCCCATCCAACATCTGAGGAAAAGGAATAAGAGGGGAGAAACCATCTACCTATCCCATGCCTGCAAACCCATACACTCCCATGAGTCTGATTCCTCCAGAGAAACAGGTGTACACTGTTTTGAACCTGAAAGATGCATTCTTCAGCCTCCCATTGGCAGAGCTGAGTCAACTCATATTTGTTTTTAAAGTGACTGACTCAAGGGAGGTTACAGAGGACAACTTACCTGGACTAGGTTGCCCCAAGGATTTAAGATTTTTCCTGTTTGATGAGGCACTAAGTGCTGAGCTCTTGCCCTTCCATCAAAGGTTTCCTGGGCCATACTCTCATAATATATAGATGACCTCCTCTGTTGTGATATTTTGTTTGTGTTCTGACAAATAAAGCTTGCCTGAAGATCAGAGGGTGGAGCTAGCCACTAGTTAACTATAGAGGTCTGGAGTTCTGTCCAGACAGGAGACAGGAAGTGATATGGCTGGGCAGAAAGAGGAAGTGATAGGGTAGGGCAGAGACAGGAGCTTGGCCCTTTTCAGTCTCAGGAGTCAGAAAGGTAAGAGGTGAATGTGGGTGCTCCTTTGCTTCTCTGATCTTTCAGCTTTTACCCAAATATCTGACTCCCAGTTTTATTGATAAGACCAATTAGATTCATGCTTCAATCCTCCTAGACTCAAACTAAAATAGATTATAAAAGGACCATGTAAAGACTATTGTAAGAGTTATAGACCAGAGGCTACAATGTCACCTCAGAAAGCCCCACTTTTTACATCAGTGGATACCTGATAAGAGGAGGCAAAAGGAACCTTTCTCAGAGTAGGATTGCTGCCATTCTTCAGATGCCAACACTAAGACTAAGAGTTATCTTATCCTTATAGCACCCTGAGCAGTTGAGGCCTTTCTCTGAGGAAGACCAGAATGCTGGATATCTATTGCCTGCATAACCCACTCCTAGGCCCTACTGGACCACCCTCATGTCTAGTTTGAAAAACCCATGGCCATAATCTTGCTACCCTTTTGCCTGATGGTGACCTGTAGGTGCTCATCCATTACTGTCTTGAGATGACTTCCCCTGAAAGATTTTGATGCAGGGCTCTACCCAGATGCAAGAAGTTTCATTAAAGATGAAAGCAGGTATGTGTTGGCTACAATAGTTATTTCAATTGAAATGATTAAGGCTCAGGTACCTCAGCCCAAAGAACAGAACAGATAGATGGTACCCAGACTCTCAGATGGACAAAAGGAAAACCCACCACCATATAGACAGATACTTTCTATACTCTTACTACCATGCATATCCACAATACTATCTAGAGAAAGAGTGTTTCAGGATATTTTATCACACTATAAACCCTGATATTGTGTTATATACTGGAAAAATATGTTTCTAGTTGTGGTGTGCTTCAACCCTAGCACACACCTTTAATCCAAGAACTTTCTGTTTATTGTAAACAGGAT